CTTCTCAAAGGAGGCAAAACACGCTGGTGACGCACTGTGCTTGTAGCTCTGTGAATGAGTGCCTGGTTGTCCCCAGAAGATCACAGGAGCAGTGCAGAAACTGGCTCAGCAGGGCTTCTTGGCCTTCCCATGGCAGGGTGCACTGTCTGGAATGCCATGTCAAGCCAGATCCCAGCTGTGGCACTCTGCCCCTAGAATTAGCTGCCCACCAAACCATGAGGTGTGTAATTTCTGTGTTAAATCAGACACGTTTCTTTAGGTGTGGGAGGTCTCTCTTGTTGCCCCAGTGACTAACCAGACCTCTGCTTTTGAGTGCCCTGCTCGGGAGGAGCTGAGATGCTCATTGCTTCCTCATTCCTGAGAGTTCACTGCTTGGGCTCACCACTCCTTAGCTGAGTTCAGTTATTTAAGCAGGACAGCCTGGGAGACTGTGTCATGTGAAGGAGAGGAGCTCTGCTGAACAGCGTGGGACCTTTGGGCACCTGGTGTGTGGCTTGTCTTTGTAGGTGCCATGGCCATGGCATCCCAAGGCCAGGTCATTTTCTGGAGGTATGGTATTAGCTGTCTCTGCTTTGGGAGAGAGGAGGGAGGGAATTGCATTTTCCAGACTCCTTGTCTGTCTCATCCTGCTATCAGGAGCTTTCAAGACAGCAGTTCTTTGCAGCTTGACTCATATTGCACTCACCCAAGCTACCTAAACACTGGTATGGATTCTTTTATACAATCAGTAAGGCCATGTAGCTATCAATCAGAACCCCATGTGCAGGCCATCAACTGCAGCCAGGATGGAGATGTATGTCCTAGAAAGTGTGCGTGGCTATATTCCACTACCTTGGGTTTGATCTGTGGTAGGTCAGGGTATTAATGGCTTGAGAAAAGCTCAGTGTTCCTGCTGTTATAGGTTGGGATATCCATGTGTGAGTCAGGAGTAAGAGCTGGGAAGATGTGCAAGCTGGTTTGTGCCTCTCATTTGAATGAGCCTGCTTCCTTTGGACCTATTGACCAAGCCCTGGTGAACTATAGTCAGAAAAAGAAGTATTGGGGGAAGGCCATAAAAATATCTGCCTCATATCCTTATCTCCTGACTCATTGAAAATAACCCCCACCAGCTGGGTAAAGTGGCAAACTTGCTTCAGCCTCCAATGAACAGACCAAGTTTGCATCTAACCTTGACTGCTTGAACAGACACACCAAGAAGCTGTTTCCTTGATCCCAAGTGGGGATGTTTCTGGCAGGGATGGAGGCAGAGGCTCCAGCAAGGTGTGTGGAACACGCCTGCTGGTCCTCTTTCTGTCAGGAAGGTTTCAGCTGTGATGAGCATCCGTCTCATCTGAGCTCAACAGCGGTGAGAAGGACAGTACACATGAACAGAAGAGACCTCTCATGCGGGAGCTGTGCTCCAGCTTCCTCACACAGAGCCTCAAGGAAGATCTAAATAGAAGTAAGTAGTGATATTATCTGCACCCTTTCACTGATGAGAGTGAGATCACCAGTAGGCGTAATGTAACACGGTGTGAATATTCACTGGGCATCGTGTTCCTCATGCATCTGGAATGCATGCAATAACCAGCTCTGTTGTTCCCAAGGGGCAGCCCAGCTGCTTCTGCCAGGGATATGCACCAAGAACCCCCTTGCTCTGCGAGCCAGCCCCTGGCTCTGTCAGCCCCTGTGTCCACCACAAGTGGCTGCGCACAGCCAGACAACAGCCACTCATGGGAAGCAGTGGGGTCCTCCAGAGCAGCCCAACCCAACCCAACCTCAATAATCTCCCCCCCTAGACAACTAAACAAAACAAAGCTGGAATGCTGAGAACAGCTGAGCTCTGCGATCATTAACTGCTCACTGCAATGGAAATCTGTCTTCTTGTGTTTCCCCTGCCATGCTATTTCTTTTCCACCGTAAGCTTTGATAAAAGGATGAAGGCAAGGGATCTTTAATCTCTTCCTTACAGGTTTTTTGGTCCTTACACTTCCGAACCCATTCCCGAGGCAAAGCTTACTCTGAGTGGAGCTAGAGATGAGGGGGATTGTGCCTCTGCCGCCTGTCACAGCAGGGTGACGAGCCTCTCTGTCCCTGGGCTGTGCTTGGCAGCATTCAGGTGGGGAATGAATGAGTTTCATGCCCAATTCTGTTTGGCTGATGAGGAATGGAACCATGGAAAAGAGGATAGGATGCATGGTGCAGCATCCCACAGGATGCCGAAGCGATGTTGGGAACTGAGGGTAGCAGCGGGGCTCCAGCTCATCTGTCTGTTCCATGCCTCTGAAACACTGGAAGTATGATGCTGATGCATGGGAAATTGCTGTTTACTTGAACTGCTGGAGTGGCCCATTGCAAAACAGCTCCTGTCAGCATGTGGCTGGGTTGCCAGCACCCTCTTGTTCACCCTGTGCTCCATCCACTCAGTACATGTGGGTGGCTCACAGGCAAATTCAGACCCTTTTGGTTCCTGGCTCTTGCAGTTGCTGCAGAGGACACTCCAAAGGGTCTGATTTCCCCTCATCCCTGGGGAGGGGTGCTGAAGGGGATGGTGACATCTGTGCACCCAGAACAGACATCAGCCCTGTTGCTGTCCTGAGCCAGGACGTGGAAGCAGCTCTCCGGATGCAGAGCTAGCAAGGCTTTGCAGCTACGTGGGCACATGATGCCTATAACCATAGGGGACAAAAGCGTTGGTGCTGGCCCGTTTGTGCTGCTCTGTGTTTGTCTGTGAGCAAGCTGAAGATGGTGGTGGTCAGGCCAGAGGGTCCTTCTGAGGACCAGAGACAAGTGTGGTGGCACTGAAGTGCTCAGGGACTGCACAGGAAGCATCCCGGCTCCTGGTCTCCTGCCATACCCCCTCTGGTATTCACTGATGCAATCGCTGCATCCCTCAGCTCCCAGCTATTTCCTCTTGCCCATTCCTGGGAAGGAGGATCTGAATCTAGAGGGGTGAAGGCAAGTCACAGCTCCTGTGTGTTTGCTCCATGCTTCCCAGGCTTGAGAGCTGGGGCTGTTCATGGCAACCTTGGCTGAGTTTATAGCAACTATCTTGCCCTGGGATCGGCGCCATAGAGCTCCTCAAGGAGGTGGATGTGATTCAGCACACGGAGGAAGCTTTGTGTCGGCCCCAGAACAGGAAAGCACATGGTTGTCCATGGGGATGGGTCACAGATGCCCAGTGCCTGCGGCTGGAGGATATCCAGGCCTTTCCTCCCTGGTAGGGTGGGCTGTGAATGGGAGGCAGAGCACTGCTGTCCACCCTGGTGGCGAGCAAAGGCTGGTGAGATGAGGGGCTCTGAGAGCATCTGTGCAGGGAGCACTTGATCCCTCCTCCTGGGCACGCTGGTGTGTGCAGACAGGGATTCCTCAGAGAACCTGCTGCGGGCTTTAAGGATGAGGATGGAAGGGAGCCAGTGGGAGGTCAAGCAAGCCTTCTGCATCACCTCCGCTCCTTTCCATCCCCTCTTTCAACCTGTCTTCCCTTTCTCCCTTCCCTGCTGCTCCCTGAAGGAGAGGTTTGCTCACATGGCTCCATTTCAGCCCTTTGACTGTGGCATTGGCAGTGACTCCTCAGACATTGTGCAAGTGGCTGATGCAGGCACACAGTAACCGTGGGAGGAGTTTGTGGCTGCACAGGCACCCATGTGCTCTCATGCGGAGGCTGCCAGATGTGTTGGGAAAGAGCGTGCTGCTGGCTCTGTTTCCAGCCTCCTCCTGCCCACTCCCTGGCTCACACTGGGTGTCTCCCGGGGTCAGGAGCCTGTCTCAGTGCTCTGCTCACCTCCCTGCACAAATGGCCCCTCTCAAGTACCACCAGGGCCTTCCTTATGCCCCAGGGATGCAGAAACGAGCATCCTGCATTGGGGCCAGCTAACTCCTCTCAAAGGCAAAGCATGGGTCACCTCCTTTGATGGTGAGTGCTCCCCTGAATGTTCACCACTACTGTGGTTGTGTGCTTCATCAGTCCACCTCGCCCAATGGCTGTGGCTTACCCACTTCAACCTCCTTCCTACCAGTGGTGTAAGGTGTGAAGGAGGTCAGCTGCATGGTAATGTTGTCCTTTCTTTTTCCCCTGTGTAGCTTGATTACAGCCATTGTCATTCTGGCTGTAGTGACTGTCCTGATCATCGGGTTTGGTGTCTCAGGTATGTGACTGCTCAGGTTTCTTGCTGTGGAATGATGAATGTCTGCCCTGCCTCTGCCTCCATCCCTCCATCCTGTGCATGGGCTGAGGTGTGATCTTGTGTGCAAGTGCCACCTATAACACTTGGCTTGCTTTATGAAGCTTGCACACCAGATGGCTGAGTTAAGGGTGCACAGGCGACTTCCATTGTGGTCTTTCTCAACAAGGTACGGCTCCATCGCATCAAACCAGCAGGAGCTGTGCTCGCCCTGGAAACTGTGAGCTCCTGGGGGTTGTAAATAATGCAGAGATTTATAGACACTGGCACAGGGTGCCCAGAGAAGCTGTGGCTGCCCCATCCCTGGCAGTGCTCAAGGCCAGGTTGGACACAGGGGCTTGGAGCAAGCTGCTCTAGAGGAAGGTGTCCCTGCCCATGGCAGGGGGTTGGAACTGGGTGAGCTTTAAGGTCCCTTCCAACCCAAACCACTCCATGATTCTGTGTTAGCTGAAATGTCACTGGGCTTGGAGCCCTAAGCTTACACATACAGAGTCCTGCATGTCCTGTGCTCCTTCTCCCAGATAGGAGGAGACAATGGTATTTCCTGGGAAGTTGGGCAGCATCTGCCGGGATGGGGCACATTCCCCTGCTCCCCCAGCAATGCATTGCTTCGGCTTTAGCAGCCTCCTTGGGGTGTGCTGAGCAAGTACATGTAGGGAAGGGTTGCACGGGAAAAAGGAGCCAGCTCTGGGAGGGAGTTCATTCTCCAGATTGCCTGTTAGGATTTGACTTGGGAAGTGTCCCCAGGGAAGGGAAATGCTGACTTTTCTTAAATGCAAGAAACTGGTTTGGATTCCAGTAAGAATGAAAGAGCAGCCTCTTGTTTCTCTGCCTGCAGTCACATTTATACTGCAGAGAGGCAGGACCTGACTGAGGAAAGACACAAAAATCTCACTCTTTTGGAAGCTGCAAAAGAGAAAAACCCCTGATATATGCAAACAAGCAAGAAAACAGCATGCAGAATCTTCTCAAATAAGAGGAGCTACTTTCTGAAGCATAGTGCTTGCTAAAGGAATGTCCCTGTGCTTCATTTTAGTATAGAAGCCATAGGAGATGACCTCTGCTATGAGCACTGGTAGCTGCTGCTGGTGTCGTTGTCTGTCCAGCCTCAGCCTGGCCTTTCTCTGCCCTTCCCACCTCACCTTCCTCACACCCCTTTGCTTTCCCCTTGCAGGCCAGCGCTCCATCCGTGTGACAGCTCTCCCATCTCCAGGGATCATCGGCCAGCGCGGCATCCTGGGCTGCGCTTTCCAGCCCGGCATCCGCCTGGGCAGCATAGCGATCCGGTGGGAGAAGGCAGGAGTAACCGGGCCGGTTCATGAGTTCCGAGGCGGGCAGGACCAGCTGCAGGAGCAAGCTGCGCTGTTCCAGGGCCGCACGGCCCTCTTCGTGGAGCAGCTGATGGGCGGCAATGCCTCCCTGGAGCTGCGGGATGTGCGGCTCTCTGATGCCGGCATTTACCAGTGCTCCGTCACCACGGCCAGCGGGAGCGGGGCAGCGCTGCTGCACTACAGGACTGGAGGTGAGCGGTGCCAGGGGTTCCATCCTGGAGCAAATCCCGTGTTGGTGTAACCTGGCTGGACCCACCTGTAGTTATGCTGGTGCTGGAGGCTGTGTGTGCAGCACCCACCCCTCCGGCAGCCACCATCGGGCCCTGCACTCCTGAGCAGGACTAGGGTGGTTTTCTGGCTTTTACAGAGGCGTTCATGTCTTTACCTGCTCTTTTGACACCCTCGTTCCAGAAACTGTTAGTATTGCAGTGCTCTCAGTTGTCTTTGTCCTTCTGTCAGGACCATAACTGACTACAAAGAGCCCCTAAGAATGGGAGTTGCTAATTGACCTGATAAAGATCCTGATTTTATGCCTGCTAAAGATAACACAATAGTTTTTTCTCTCTAGAATCAAGATACATATTCAGCCAGGAGAAGTGATGCACAGTAGCAACTGTAGCCTATTTAATGCATGTTTTCTCTGTTTTAAAAAGTATTCAGTTTTTTCAAAGTGAGTGTATAAAACTATGGAGTATTTAAACATGACGTATCAGAGTTATCTGAAATAGTCCATATTTGCTAGTATGAACCATTCACCTTGTTAGGAGTAAACCACAAAACATGCACAGGCATGGACAAATCTTCAATTGTGGATGCTTAATTCTCCTGAGCCCGCTGGGTTTAGCCACTGTGTTCGGTGCTGGCACAAAGCAATGTGTTCCCACTGACAGGAGGATGGAGCCAGGAGGGTGCTGATTTCTGCTCCCAAGGAACAAGGGATGGGACAAGAGGAAAAGGCCTCAAGCTGCACCAGGGCAGGTTTAGATGGAGCTGAGGAACAATTCCTGCCCCAGAGGGTGCTCAGGCATTGGAACAGGCTGCTCAGGGCAGTGCTGGAGTCACCGTCCCTGCAAGTGTTCACACACCGTGCAGACGAGGCCCTCGGTGACATGGGTTAGCGGTGGCCTTGGCAATGCTGGGGAATGGTTGGATTTGATGAGCTTAAAGGTCTTTTCCAACCTAAATGGTTCTATGATTCCATGAAGCCACAGGTGTTGGTCAGGCTCCTGTCAGCCCCTAGTCTCCAGCAGAGGTGAGTGGAGTTATGCTAGCTGTGGTTCCTGCCTGAGGAAGCAGGCTGGCCAGGTCCTGAGTCCAGTCTCCTCCAGGAGCTCAGGTGTCCAGGAGCTCTTGGGAAACCCTTGGTTTATGAGCCCAGGAACCAGCTTGTAACTGTTAAGCACAATCACTCCAAGCCACTAAAGCCGTGCCACAACCTCAGCAGGTCTCATCAGACTGCACTGTCTTGTTCTAGGAGTCTCCAGGTCGATCCCACGCAGTCATCCCCTGTAGCCCAACCTGTACAATCCTGTGTTTGGCGTGGCTACGTGCAGTGCTGCGATGCTGAGCAGCAAGTAGCCCTGAAATACCTGGGGCTGACCAACAGGTGCAGGTGGGTGTTTGATGCCCAGTTCCTGGACATTTGCCTTTCTCCCTCCCAAAGCCTTCAGCACCCCCAGGGTCCATGTGGAAAGCAGCAGCAGTGGGGACACGTTGCAATGTGAAGCACCGCACTGGTTCCCTCAACCCATGGTGCGCTGGGCAGCCTACAGCGATGCTGGGGAGTACCTGCCTCACGTGTCCAACACCAGCTACGAGCTGAACGCTGGAAGCATCACTCTGAAAGTGGTTTCCTTTCTGCACAACATCACTGCTAACACCACCTACACCTGTGTGATTGAAAACAGCATTGCCAAGGCTACAGGCGACATCAAAGTGACAGGTAAGGTTGAATACCACGCAGAGACCATGAGCACCGGGGAGAAGGGTTTAAGCAGTGTGCCTGTGTGTGCTGGGGGTTCCTGCAGCACCTGTGTCAGCCAAGGAAGGGACTGGAACCCACAGCTAATCCCTGGGGTGAAGGAACGGGTCTGTGCTTGGTCCTGCTACTTCAGATGTTCTTCATGGTAATGGTTGCTCCATCAGCACAGGGACAGAACTGTCCAGGAATGAGAGGGAAGGACACACCTGAAAAGAACGTATTCCTTTGAATGTTAATCCAGCACAAGAGGCAGGATCCGTCTTTATCAATCCTCAGAAAAATGGGCAGGATTAAATACTCTCCTTTTGCCCTCCTTGCTGTGTTCCCCATTCTGGTAGCCTCTCCCTATTCTGTTACAGATTTCAACATTACAAGGGCGACCGACTTGCAGCTGGTTAACCTGGACACAGAGTCAGTGTCCTCCTCCCTTCCAACCTGTCACTGGATGCTTCTGATTCCCTTGTATCTGCTGTTGATATAAAGCGTCCCTCAAACAATCAGAAACACTGCTGGATGTGGAGGTAAGCCTAGGAAGGGAAACTCACAATATATGCTCAGTATGTGTAGACCTTCTTGCTGAGATTTGTTACAGCAGCAGACCTATCTCAAGCCAGAATGGGAGATCCTCTTTCCCCTGTGCCCACCCTTTCCCTATCCCCAGCTTTAGGTGCGACACATGGCTTGTCCCTCCTGCAGGCTCCCCAGTGGCTTTTCCCATCACTGCAACCTTATGGGTTGCTCTCTTACACCATCAACTGTCATCTCTTACTTGTTCCCTCATTCTCTTTTTCTTCCCTCCTCAACCTGATAGATGTCTGTGCTGCTGCTCTGTGCACCCTCAGGACCTTGGTTACTGTTCAGGGCTGCGAAGCACTGTGAGCTTCTCTCTCACCCTTCCCATGAGGCTGCTGCAGTGCAAGCTTTGCTTGCACCCATTTTACTCAGACAACTCTGCTGCACAGTGTAGTATCTTCAGTGAGTAATACCTACTATGAACACCTTTAATGGGGCTAGAGGGAGTTGCCAGCCTGAGCAATCCCACCTAGTCCTGGAATAAGGAGGACTGAAGACAGTCAAAGCACATCAGCTGTGGGCGAGGGCTCTAGAGGTAACCAGTGATGGAGAGCTACAGAAAATCAGCCCAAAGGAACACCTCTTTTTCCACACAGGAGTTACAACAACTTCCCTGATGGCAGGACACGCTTCATGCTTTCTTCCCTCTTGGGCTGAGAACTTGAAGAGCTCCTCCCAGTTCCAGAGCATGCAGTAGCACAAACATGAAGTCATCCGCTTTCCCTCATGTTGTTTCTTACCCATGACAACAACAGGATACTTCGACTTAGGAAAGAGAGAGAGGGATGTGCTAGAGACTTGCATAAAGGAAAAACACTGATTGCAGGAACAATCTTGTCTATAGTAACCCAGTGACCAGAACTCTGATCATGGGCAGAATCTCAGAGACAAACAGGAAAAGAGTTTCCTGCAATACATCTGGGAACTGGTCCTTCAAACTCATGAGTAGTAAAAAGGAAGCAAATCTTAATTCCCCTCAAACAGATTTGATTCACTTGTCTCCTGCCTTGTGATTCTCTAAATGTACTAATAAAACTGTAAATAAGAGAGCCAGTGAATCTAGCTTCTCAGAACTCCCCTTCTGAAAAAGATGTGAATAGCAAGGGAGGAATGGGTTAGGAAATAGCTAACAGGCTTGGAATACGTCAGGTTTCCAACCTGGCAAAGGCTACCAGTGTGTCTGAAGTTGCGTGAGGCCTGATGATTGCATCTGTAATGTGACATGAAAGAGGAATGGGTCAGTACTCAAGTGTGGCAGCAGACAGAAGACTAATTTACATGAGGAGGAAAAGAGGGAGACTATCCAGTAAGATACTATTGGGAAGTTCGAATTCAGAAGTAAAGACAGTTATTAAACACAGATGTAATTACAGAGACAAATTTGCCTTGTTTTTAAACAAGTCCCTGTTTTGGCAACCTCTTTTAGGATGGCATCTCAGAACTTTGTTGAATGGTGGCCCCTCTGTCAGGTCTTGTGCCACGCATGCTTTGGTCTTAGCAGCAGCCAGCAAGCCTTGAGAGGGAAGACACTTTACACATGCTCTGTAACTCTACTGCCTTAAGTTTAATATATAGCTCAAACTAAGAGGGAAGGGAGAAAAGGCAGGGGAGAGGCACTGAACAAACCCCAAAACAGAGTAGCTGTTCAGAGATGCTGTTGGCACTACATGCTGCATAATGCCAGGGAGTAATTGTGTGTGCAATTCACCACCCTGGCGAACAGAGACGAAAGATGTGGATGTTACTTGCCAAAAGCAAGCCCAGAACACTTGGGTCATCACTGCAAGTAGATAGGGGAGGAATCTCTTCAAACAGTGATCTCACATGCTGCATGGACACTGGCAGTGGCAGTCATCTCCTTCTTCATAAAGGAGAGATTGGCCAGCTTGTAGCACATTGAGTTTGTATCACAACCCACTGCCTTCCTCTTGTTACTAGCCCCACATAATGTTCAGAACACTGTTTAAGCTGCAAAACAAATGACCGTATAATCCTGTGTTTTAGTACCATGATTTGGTCTCCAAACTGTAATTTCTTCCCCTCTCTTTTTGGAGGAAGAAAATGCTTTAAAACCAGCAGTTTAATAACTGTAATTAGGTTGAGACTACTCTGCCCTGTGGCAACTGTAGCTGGACTGCAGAACACCTGGCTCTGGCTCATAAACCAAGGATCTGTGTTCTACCTCATTCCTCTTACAGCAAAACCCCCTTAATATTAAGACAGTGTTATTTAAACGTCATTTTAATAGCTTTATTTAGTAGATACTACCACATAAAGTTCACACATTGTGTGCCTGAGCCCCAAAGTAACGGCTATCGCATAGGAAGCATTCAACATTTCTCTTCCAAACCGTAACCCAGTGTCGCTGGTGGCAATGGTCCAGAATGACTTCAGGAATTCCAGTCACAGCAGCTTCCTGGTTGCACCCTTCACCCTGTGCTCCCACTGGAAAGGAGATTAAAAGAAACTCCTAATCCCAGCAGGCATTTCCATAATTCCTCTCCCACTGGGAGAGATGTTAAGCAGTGGCTCCCACTCAGCAGTGACTGGATGTCCTTCTCATCCTCTTGCTGTTCAGATAGCTCAAGGTGTCTTGTTCCACTTCCTTCACATCCAGGCAGAGCAGGCTCAGCCGAGATCCCACTTGTGACACAAATTCCACTTCATCACACCGAAAGTTCCTGAGCTGCAGTGGATCTGAAGGGGAAAGATATATGTAAGAGCTCAGCCCAGGGCTCCTGCTCTGTTCTAGCACACAGCTGTAGGAGCTGCTGGGGGAGGAAGGCCTTGCAGCAGCTGCTTGGCATCTGCTGAACCTCCAAGGACAGCTTAATGAATCCAGGATGTAAGCAGATGAAGGCATTTGGCCAGCACCCCTGCAGCTTGGAGGAAAACAATACTACACTGTGAAATGCTGTGAACTATGTGCTGCTCACACAGCTGATGCACTGAGCTTTATACCTTCTATCACTATCAGCAACCTGGCCTTACAAACTGTGTTAAATGAGAGCCAAAAGATAATGTCTTCACAGGAGAACATTCTCTGGTTAGCTCAGCAAACCAACCCCTGCAGTGCCTGGATGCATACTCAAACATCAGTGCTAGAGCAAACGGCTAAGACAAATGTCCCTTAACACAGCAACCGCACAGTTATGGCAGCATGAGCTCAGGCACCAGCATCTATGGATTCAGAACTTCTCAGTACTGGCCATGGTGAGGATTTCCAGGCCTAGTCTTGACACAACCTGCTGTCCTGTCTAAAGTTAAACCCCGCTTGATTTGAGAGGTCTGCACAGTAACTCTGGCTGGCCAGAATCCCTTCCCATCCATGGCCAGGGAACCTTGCTCTAAACCAGCTCTGTTTCTGTGTAAAGTAGGGAAAAAAAATATCATTGCAGATAGTGACTTTTATATTATTTCTGTATTTCTGTAACCATGGTTCTGCTGAGACACATGTTAGCTCTACACTACAGTGTTCACAATTCCATGGAAATCCTCCAAAGACCTTGCTTTGTGGCAGCTCTCCTTCCCCAGCCTGGTGAGATGCCTCCTCCCTTCCGTCCCAGGTTAAAGCCAATAGTGCTTGCTTACCAGGCTGCAGGATCTTGGAGGGCTTCCTGTCTAGGCTGAAATCCAGCAGGATAGGGCGACAGATGAGAGGACTCCTGCACAGGCTCCTTAGATAGCAAGCAATGAGATCCTCAGGTTCCTCTACACACTGAGGAAGGAAAGGGTGTGTTGCTAGTTCACACGTTAGGAGGATTTATCCCCCGTGTCTCCCGGCGCCGCAATAAAGAATACCTGCTTGTCAGCTTGAAAACTTTGTTGGCAAGTTTGTTCCTGGAGTTTTCTCCGAATCAATGTGCAGAAGGAGGCAGGGAGCCCCTGGAACATCCACAGCAACGGGAAACCCAGTTCACCTGAGGCTCGAGCCCAGCACACTGCTACTGCTACTGGAATAACCCACTCACCCCTGTGCCAGTAGCTTCCCCATGCTGAATGGACACACTGCCCCTGCTCTGCACGCAGTTCTGCAGCGCTTCCCACTCGAGAAGGCTCAGGCCCAGCACTGCTGCCACATGCTGGTTCCGGCACAGCACCAAAGCATCACCTGTTCCATCCTCCACCACCACCCTATGGAGAGAGCAGGCAGACCAAGATGTGGAGGTCAGGACAATGGCTTCACAAAGGTCACGTCCCAGACAATGGATCTCAGTAAAGAGAGTGGGAGTTTTGGTCACATCTGGGAAGACATGACAACTCTACCGTCTATCTTTGCTATTCTGTCCACATCTCATCCTTGATCTGATTTTCCTCTCCCCTCTGTAGTGTCATTTGTTCCCTCCTACACACCTCTTCCCATACCCAAGCTCTACAGTGCTTACCGTGCACTGGCTTGCCTCACTCCAGTGTGAGATGGACATGGTGGACTGTGTCGGGTGCACCTCCCCTGAAGGAAGAGTAAAGCTACAGCTATGTATGGGGAGGGGTATAACAGAGAGAAGGGGAAGGGCCACTGCTTCTTTTAGCCCTCCCTTCATTACATACGCAGAGGATTAAGGAACTTTACTGCATTTCCAATGAGAGTCTTGGGAAAGGTTTGTATGGAGACAAAAATCACGCGCTGCTAATTGCTGAACCCCAGCAGCAGTGAACATGGGACAAGCACAGCATTAACAGAGCAGGATTCTCCCCTGCGGTATCCTCACTTCAGCTGCCAGGCTGCCTGGCATGAGATACATATTTCTTATCAGTTGCCACTCTGGCTCCTTTTCAATATGCAAATCCTTTTCAGACACTGGAAAAAGAGGGTTTGGAACTGGGACAGGAACTCTAATTTGTTTTTTCCTACATGGTAGCAAAGGATGTGTCAGAGTAGCAAGTCTGCAAAGCTCCTCACAAATTATCCCTATAGAAGCTTGAATACCTCTTTGAAGATGCTGTTGC